GAATATATGGGAGCGCTCTGGTGTCCCAACACCCGTAGGTGGTTTCTCTCGAAACTCTACCTTTTTAAATCTAGTGCACCTAATCAAGATTGCAAAAATGCCATCTCCGGATATCCATATAAGGTCTGTGTTTCCATGGTTGCTTTGGGAAATTTGGAAATCCCGGAATGCATTTGTCTTTGAAAACAAGGTGTTAGACTCATCATTTATTACTAAACGTGCATATGAAGAAGAAGCTATATGGTATGATACATTCACGGGTTCTGGTGATGGAGTGGTCGAAAGTGGATCTACCGAGAGGGTTCAATGGAAAAAACCATCTAATGGTTTCATAAAATGTAATGTGGGATCTTCCTGGGTAAACTCGAATCAGATTTCTGGAGTTTCATGGATTCTACGTGATGAAAATGGGTCTACAATAATGCATAGTCGTCGCGCCTACTCATTTATGCGCACGAAAACAGAGGCTGAGTTGTGGGCTCTTTACTGGGCAGTGGAATGTTTACAGACCCTACATTTCTCAAATATTATCTTCGAAACAGCCTCGGAGGAACTGCATGATGTCCTCACGAAACCGTCTGATCAACACTCCTACAGCCATGTTCGCCATAACAAATCCTTTCTACTGGCAAGGATCCACTCGTGGTCTCTGGAACATGCTCTTCCCAACCGCAATGAAGCAGCCGCAGCTATTGCAGAGAGTGTTACTCGTGATTCTCGGCACCAGTCGTACATTGCCCGACATGCACCTGTATGGCTTCATCATCTTCTCGCTTTGGAGTCTAAGTAAGAGGGGGTTTAGGTGAGGCTTCTATTTTCATTGATGTCTATTGACATTGTGTCTTTGATTCAGTTTGTTTTCTACATGTTCTACTTTGTTCCCCAAACAATCAGTGTTATAAAAAAAAAAAAAGCAAATAAGGAAAATAGCTAGATCTTAAGTTTTTAGGTAGTGAATTATAATGGTTAGAACACTAAGGGTTTTCAATCATAGAATACATATTTAATTGGTAAAGATATCTAATTTCTATCTATCTAGGATTAAACTCCAAATATACAACTTTCATATGTTGAATCGGATTGACCATCAAACGATGGTACGTATGTGACATCGATCGATGGTTTTCTTAATCGAGCATTAATTCGACCAGTTTCGTCAATCACCTAGAACCACTAAACCAACTCTCGTATGTATCTAGTAATCTAGGCTCATAGTAGATTATTCAGGTATTGACCAAGCAATCTCACTATTCTCAATATCCTAATTCATAGTTCTAGGTAGCTAATCAAGGATAAAAGCATGAAGCAATCTACTACGATAGATCTAATAATCACCTTAGCCCTTATATTGTTTGGCTAATCCATCACAACCATTAATAAACCCTAAATTTAATAAGATAACTACTTAGACATATTAAAGTAATACACAATATGAAATACTACATAATATATAATAGAGATAGAAAAACTGGGGTTCCAATATAAAGCTATGATTCAAAGAATGTAAAAACCCCTCCTTTGCATAAAATACTAGCAAAAGACATATAAATTAGGTAAAATTTGTCCAAAAGTAAGCTTGTAATTTGCTATGAACTGGGCTTCAAACCAGCTACTTCGTGGATTGGGTTTTCGCGTCTCGACCGGCGATCGATGGCAAGGGTGCATCATCGATTGACGCCCATGTTCTGCCTCGACTCGTAATATGCTGAATATGACCAGTTACAGGATTCTTCTCTCTTGAAGCCATGGAAAGCCTAATAATCTCCACAATGATCCAAAACACACATGGACCTGTAAAGACTCTAAAACACATCCTAGACACATAACAGACTCCAAAAAGGGTCTATAACATGGTCTAAAAGTAATAAATATAGGGACATATCAATGTCAAAATTGGAAAAAAAAATAGAATTTAATTTTAAAAATTTTAATTTCCTTCAACATTGAAACATAGATTCGCTCGTCAGAATGGTAATATCCTGCAAGAAAGGAAAGCCCAAAGGTAGGATAATCTACAAAAGGCTTGACAACAAGTGACCGGAATACATCTACCATGGAGAAATCCCTCCAGAATGCTTTTCTCTTGCCCCTGGGTCAAGCATTTAATCTCATTTGAGAAAAAGAAGAATTTTTCCTTGTTGACTCTGACAATTCTATATAGTCATCGACAACCAAACTAAGGTCTTTCACTACAAGAAAACTCGTCCATTACTAGGGCAGGTTTTCCTCGTTAGTTCCTAGTAAATGGCCTTTTACTAGGAACTTACGAGGAAACGCGTTTCGTCGAAACACGTTCATCGTAAAGCCTTTTTCCTCGAAAAGTCGTAGTAACCACTTTCCTCGTAATTTCCTAGTAACCATTTTCCTCGTAATTTCCTAGTAACCACTTTCCTCGTAATTTCCTAGTAACCACTTTCCTCGTAATTTCCTAGTAATGCTTTACTAGGAATTTACTTCGAAATGTTTTTCCACTTTCCTCGTAATTTCCTAGTAATGCTTTACTAGGAATTTACTTTG